GAGAGCCGATCCCCGTGAGAATAAAAATAAACATTTGTCGGGATTGGAGGGAGAATCTGCAGTATTTTCTTATCGAGGCTTTATTAAGCGTTCCTTTCATTCGACGCGTTTTACGCGGATCCCTCGGATCGCGTTTCGTCAGGTTATTACACGGATTCAATGATTCACTGAGTTCCGAATTGATTGAGAGGATTGATGAGACTTCGATATTAGTTTCGTTATCACTCTTATTAATTTGGTTATTCAGTTACCCATTAGTTTGTCCGTACACCGAGTATTAATTCAACTATCCGTAATCCTCGCGGTGAACCACAGCTCCGCGGATTATACGAGAAAAGTATCGAATCTCCATTCCTCGTTCTACCTTCCACATAAACATCGCTGAACTTCTCGCGAACAGATATAACGCTTACTGTACCGAAATCGAACGAATAAAAGTATAAAGCGCAGTAAAACATTCGAATAAGCATATCTAAGCTACAACAATCCGAAACGTTTCGTTTAAACTGCTCTCCCGAAGTGTCTGACCATTACCGTTCGCTTCCACTTAACCGGAATCACTTCACTACTCTTTCTCGTAGAGCCCGCGCTCCGCGGAACTTCCCCGAACACTCTCGAATAAAATCCGATATTACCGTCGCAGTAAAATATTATTATCACCGTTATCTCGAAAATATTCCAGCCAATGATTCGGCTAATAGCCGACGCTAGACGCGCTCGTCGTCGAGAATACGTGTGTCCTTGGCCACCGAGTGTTTGGAGTGGAAATGAAATACGTCTCCCGTGGGCACGCGGGGATTCTGTCGTCCTTGATCCTCGCGACGATGAAAAGTATTTTAATCTCGGCCCGCGTGTTCACGCGTCACGGGAGCCCCGGATGCGGGGGGACGCGCGCGATTGTACTCGTGTTTCGTTTCCTGCTCCCTCAAGAATGTCGCCAGACAGAAAAAGAAGGAAATAAAGGGAGGAGATTGAAAAACATGTGGAGGAACATGAGTCGTCCATAAGAGACTAGCTTCGCGTTTTAAACGGTGTGCTGTGCGAGTAATGTTATTTATTGTAGACGTGTGGGTTAATATTGATGTAAACTTCATGGATGTAAGTGCATATGTATAGCGTGCGTGTATGCGTTGTTTTGAATAAACGCGAAAAAAAAGATATTGAAAAAAAACGAAGTTTGTGTTGACAACGAAAAATATATGGAAATTGTCATCGTTTAAAGTAAACGTCTATGTTGTTATGAATCTTTTCTTATTTTCTTGTGAACAGGTGTATATATAGGATCATTACATCCGTAATTAAATTTTCGCATGGCAGATTATACTAAGCTAGTTCCATTAACCATTTGTGGACGAATGTCGACACTCTGCCGAGATCAAAATTTCATGTTTGCAATACCAAGTTGCTAACAAATGATTCCACTACTCAAACAGCAAGAAATCAGTACATAATTTCCTTATCGTATATTATTCAAGAATTCGATGTGTGATATGACAGAATTTACAGAAGGATTTGTATACTTCAGAGAATCTTCATCCGCAAAGGGTTAAAATGAAATTATATTTTAAAAAGAAATAATATTAATCTTTTGCACTCTGTAGGCTCCACTATGACACTGTTTATACTATTAAATATTCTATACATCCAAATTTTGTATTAAGAAGGAAAATAGTGAAATCTAAGAGATTTTACAAGATAACATTTTTCATTTATGCTAGGGATACTATAAAAACGGCTTGGAGTTGGTAGATTACAAAATCACCTGGAGTGATAAGGGTTAAAAAGAAATAATATTAAAAAGAAATAATATTAACCCTTTGCATTCGAAAGTTTTTCGATAGAAATATTCAACATTTTCTAACGAGATATAGGTCATATTCTTTGAAACTAATTTAACGATAATTCATAGATAAATTAAGCAACAGAGGTGTTTTATTTAAATACTTCACGTAGCAATGCAAACTTTAATTTGAAATATTAAATATTTAACTTCATAGTTGTGTTGTATCGAATCATGTGGTGACTCACCTCTCGAGTGCAAATGGTCAAAAAGAAATAATATTTTAATGGAAATAGTTCCTCCGAAAGAACATTCGGAAATTAATTAAGAGATGATCAAGGAAACCTAAGTATTCATTCTCTAGAGTAGAAGTTGGCGTATGAAACGTTAATTACAAGAGAATCTAATGTTTCTAGATACATCTGTCGAATTATTTGGTTTCTTTATATATCCACTTTACGAAACTTTCTGTCTCTTTCTATCTTCAATTGAATCGATCACTTTAAACGTACGATTTATACAGAGAATCGCATAGAAAGATAAATAAAGAGGAAAGGAATAGTGCAGTGAAAGTAATATAAAGCTACAGAGAAGATACAGAAAGACACAGCTAAAGTGAAGCACGACGATAAAAGAGGAAATAGAAAGGAAGCCATAAGAAACTAGTAAAAGACATAGAGAAACATAGAAAGAAACGAGCAACTCAATAGCACGTGTCGCACCGTCGAAGACGATACTCCACCATGAGAACAGTGCAGCCAGCCGAATAACTTACCGCCGCGAAGCTCTCGACTATTTTCCATTTCACTTTTTGCCTCGAGTTTCCGCCGCGAAGATCGGATTAGACTCCGCTTCAAACAAACCCGAGACGACGATTCCGCAAGTAACTCTTCCCTCGTCCTAAAATCGAGTCGGAAAATTTACGCTCGAGACTCGGGAAGCTTCCGTTGCGCCGAAACGCAACGTTCAAAGCAGAATTTCGAGCGTAACGCGTTTCGTTCCCTCGGAATCTCGTCCAGCGAACGCCGCGGAAAGACGATTAAACAATTTTCTTCAGCGGGATTTTCGAGCCGTCCTCGAGACAGGTTGCGGGAATGGGTTTCGAATTTTGAGACGGGGACGGGAACGTTCGGAGTCGAAGGTGGGTTCATCGAGTTAACGTTAACGCGAATTTCGCGGCCGGATTCTAATTAAATCTCGCGATTCATATTGCTCGCGGTCTGGGGCCGGCCCGTCGTCGCCGCGCGCCAGACGGGAATTTCATTTTCTTGGTCACGATGCGTTAATACGTTCCGCTGCGCGGCTAATGGGATTGTTACGCGAACGGAATGCCGCGAGACCCGACGGTTCCTGGCACTCGCGAGCGGCACTTGAATATTGAGACACCTTGTAGATGAGTTATTCTTCCTCGATCGCGATCGTTGTGTGGATACTATATGAATACTACCACCAAAGCGCACTGTCTTTCGACAAAGCACGAATAGGAGGTGATTGAAAATCATCGGAAGTACTTAATTGATTAACACCAATGCGCTGTTTAACCCTTTGCGAACGAATGTCGACGTTTCGGCGAGATGAAACGTACATATTTGGAAAACTAAGTCGTAGGCAAATGATTTAATTACTCGGACAGCAGGAGAGCATGTAGTTTCTGTTTTTGCTTTTAATTAAGCAGTTAATGTATAATTTAGCTTCATCTGTTGAAGGTTTTGTATATTTCAAAGAATCTTCGTCCGCAAAGGGTTAATTAGGGAAAATTCACCATTTTGTACACTGTGAAGCAGGGGTATGAAAGTCAGTCATAGTGAGTCATAGTTAGACATAGTCATAGCAAAATGCGGAAGTGATTGGGTGTGTATGCAAAAAAATTAATAAGAGTACTTATCTAATGAGATCACAAATATTGTGCTATTACAAAAAAATGTCAAAAAATAACAATTATTCAAATAAATTTACTTTGATTTATTTCTTGAAAAGCACAGTAAGAAAATTATAATTGATACTCAAATGGTTAAATTGACTTTCTGAAATTCCTCTAAATTTCAAGAGTGCATCTATTGAGACTTTGATTGATTTAAAATTCACTTTCCGTATTGCTGAATCAATTTCTTTAATAATTATAGTAATTCGATTTGGTTGACGTCAACGTGTTAACACTAAAACTACCAAACACTTCAATCGACTTTTGAAAATTTCGCTATAGAAACTCCAAGACTGTTCAGATCTCAATTGATGTACAATTCAATTTGCTAAATGAATTCTTTTAATAATTTCTCAAAGAAACATTTGTTACCTTTCTAATAATTGCAAATAGAAGACATCATGCATTTGACCCTTCTGGTAGTTTTAGTGTTAACTGGTGAACTCTTGACCGGTCAACAACGTTACAGCCCGAAAACAGGGATCAACTCTTGACCGGTCAACAACGTTACAGCCCGAAAACAGGGATCAACTCGTGACCGGTCACCAATGTGTCAAGAAGATCGAGAACCTTCGGCCAGAAATATTCCCGTCGCTTCGTCCGCGGATCGTTCCGCTCGAATTCGTTTTTATCGTCCAAGGGGAAACCGGTTTCTTCCTCGTTTCACGGGGTTCGCTCGGTCTAATAAAGTGGCGGCGGCGGCGGCGGCGGCAGGCCGGATGCGCCCCGCCGCGGAAAGAGATACCGGTGCAGCCGATGCGATGCAACGCTGGGAATCGTTCCGCCCGTCTCTCTCTCTATATATATACACGCGGCCGACCACTTCGGGATAACTTCAAATCGGATCGAACGCCCGGTATTACTTTTCACGACGTCGTAAACGGAATTTACGGGCTGAGAACCGTATAACGTTATTATCCGAAACGGTTATTTCCACGGCGAAAGAGATTCACGGACACCGTGTAAAAACCTACGCGAGCGTAGCCGCGACAGCCCGTGTTCGATCATCCCGCGGAAGCACGAGGAAATTTGTATATCGACGTTGCGATACGTTCGTTAGGGTTTAGGAGGTTCCACGGGATAACACGGGAATTATGGGGATTTTCGGATGAGACTGTGCTTCGAGTTTGACTTGCATTCGCGAGATTGGAATCGATGTTAACGCTTTCTCGCGTAATGACGAGCGAGACTCGATATGAAGATTTCTAGATTAACCCTTTAACATCTGATCTCGAAGTGTCGACGTTCGTAGCAAAGGGTTAAGATGATAATTAATAATAATGAATTCATTAATTGCAGGTTAACTGAGTACCAGTCCCGGTTCGTAACCAGACACCGAAAAGATGGCAGCGTTCGTCGCGAAGCAGATGGTCGGCAACAAGCTGAACGCGGTTAAAGGTGAGTCTTTTGAAAACTCGAATTTCCTTCGGGATTCATTGTCAAAGTTTAATACTAATCGTACCGGGAATCGGTCTAATGACTGAATTTAAAATTCTGTCTTCTTTTGTTCATTTAATTTTATATTCTAAAACACAATCTCTATCATAACGTTCAGTTGAAACTTCCTCAAAAATGAAACCCAACGAATGAAATTATGATCACAGAATAACTCCAAGTAGAATATCCAAGCAATGATCAGACAAATACTAAAACACAATCTCTAACAACATTCAATCGAAACTTCCTCAAAAATGAAACCCACCAACAAAGAAAATTATAATCTGACAATAACGCCAAGTAGAATAACCAAGCAATGATCAGACAAATACTAAAACCTAATATCTTACATAACTTTCAATTGAAACTTCCTCAAAAATAAAACCCACCAACGCAGAAAATTATAATCTGACAATAACGCGAAGTAGAATAACCAAGCAATGATCAGACAAATACTAAAACAATCTCTATCACAACGTTCAATCGAAACTTCTTCAGAAATGAAACCCACCGAATGAAATTTCCCAATCGCCACTTTTCTACCAGCCACCCGGATCGCGTTCGACTGCCGGGACACCCGGTATACACGGTCCGAAACGAGCACGGAACAAATTCGCGACGAGTCACGTCCCATCGGAACGCGCAGTCGAACGGTTTTCGAAGGGAATTTCAGTCGATTCCTCCCGACTGCGCTCCCCCGCGCGTTCTCCGGCAGCCACGAAGAGAATAATTGCCGCGCGGCCGAACAGCTTCGCGGGAAACTCGCTCCTCTCTTTTTATCGCCGGCCGAAAAGTTTGTTCGCGCGAGCACGCCGCGCCGCCGGGCCGAGATCAATGCCGAAAGATCGCGCGATTCAATCGAGAATGGAATCTCCGGGTCTACGCGCTTCGATTAGCGCGAATCGGAGGTTCCTCTTCGAGATGGACCTCGACTGCATCGATTTATTCTCGATACTTCGTGGAATCGGGACTCTTATAACGCGTGGAATGTAATTCCCGTGGAAATTGAGCTTCTTTGGGAAAGAGATTCTTTAACACTATAACTACCGAGCGTTTAATACGATTAATATGCAGTTTCTATAAACATTGCAACAATAGATTATTTTCAGTTTCTTCAGGCATTTATTATAGTACTGAGATGAAACTAATTTTTAAAATTATTTCGAATATTCACTGCTTCGAATATCAATAATTGCCAAACAAACAAATCGAAACAGTCATTTGGACTGGTACGGTAGTTCTAGTGTTAAATAAAAATGGGGATTTTGGATTTTTATCTGGTTGATCGTAGTGAGTAGATCATCAACGAATTTAAGAAATGTGAATTTTAACTTTGATTCTGTGAACGTTGCAATTCGATGATGAATTAACACGTTGATGAAAATCTTCAGAGTTTTGTGCATCGCTTATTCTTTTGTAGCAAAGTTACAGAACATTAGTTATTTATTAATTGGTATCGAAATGCTTACATGAGACTGTCGTCTAGTTATTTACGCAAACAACAAACAAGACAAATTAACATTTTCAAATGATTTTGATACTGCGGTTATCGGTGACCTCCGTGGCAGTCAACGTGTTAACCCTTTGCACTCGAAAGGTGATTCTCAGTCACCGCTTGATTTGATATAATAGTATATATAATTATATAATTATATTATTATTATTATATTATTATTATTATTATTATATTATTATATTATTATTATTATATTATTATTATTATATTATTATTATTATTATTATATTATTATATTATTATTATTATATTATTATTATTATTATTATTATTATTATTATTATATTATTATTATATTGTATTATTTATTATATTTGTATAATGCATTGACAAGTGAAATATTGGAATAACAACTTTGTTTCTTGCTTAATGTTTTCTTATTGATTGGTTCCACGTCGTCCATAGTCCACAGGGCAAGGTTCAGTATTTCCAGTGGGAAATTCTCGAGTGCAAAGGGTTAAATTTTAAAACAATTCAAGTGACAGGAATAAGAGTTTACTGTATCCAGAGAGTGCTATTCCGAGTTTCATTTATTAGATAATAATTAAACCAAAGCGTCGTAAATTGAGCCGGTTACTCGGCAAAGCTTCCACTTAAATTACTTTCGATATAAAAGGTTCAACTTCTAAATGAGCCACTTGAAAAATTCTCACAATGGAAAGAAGCGTAAGCTGCGCCCCGATTGAGAACAAAGTGCTACTTAATTACTCGATCGATGCGAAGAAACTTCAAGGAAGGTCCCTAAAACGGCGATACAACTTTCCCCGGCGACACCGCCGAACAATTGAATCAAACTACCATTTCCAACAATTTTTCCTCTCGCGAAATCCCCCCGGTAATTCTCGTTTAATCTCTGCCGCGACAATGAGAGACATTTCAATGTCCCCGGGCACGTGTTTTAAGGACACCGGCGGCTAAACCGATTGAAACTTCATAAGTATCCACGAAGCGATTAAACTCCGCTCGGAGAAGAATACGGCTGTATAAACGCCGGCCGGAATGCGAGTTTATAAGTAAGCCGCGGATAAATTCGACGGCTGTCGATAACGAACGTGCCATGAATGGCTGTGTACGTGGCGCGTTAAAAAATAGAAACCGCGTTCGACATTCTTGCTGCAGCGGTCGGAATGAAATGGATAGAGTAACAATGGATGAGCTTTTTTTTGGAAATACGACGTGTGGAAACATTGGGTGCTAAGGTGTCTTGATGTGGGATCGTACGTTGAGAAGTCGAAGTTTGTAAACTTAAAGTTAGTAGATTAAAATTGAAATTAAACTCTGTAAGGTTGACACATCAAAATTGAAAATGAACTTTGTATACTTGAAGTTTTTCAAATCAAAATTGAAATTAGACTTTGTAAACTTAAAGTTTGCACAGAGAAATTGAAATTGAACCTGATGAACTTAAAGTTTGCAAATCAAAATTGAAATTGAATTTTGTAAACTTGAGGTTTACACATTAAAATTGAAATGTAACTTTGTACACTTAAAGTTTGCAAATTGAAATTGAAATTGAAATTGAAATTGAAATTGAACTTGGTAAACTTAAAGTTTGTAAATATAAATTGAAATTAAACTTTGTAAACTTCAAGTTTGCAAATGAAAATTGAAATTGAACTTTGTGAACTTATTTCAAGTTAATGGGAAAAGATTTTCTTTTCATATACTATAGAATAATACATACAACATACAGTAATATGTTCTGTAGAACAGGAAATAATTGAAGAAATAATAACACACGAAAAAATGAAAGAATCAATAAATCACAACAATTAATTATGTAACTGAACCTCTGAATATCTGCGAACGCCTTTTGAAAATTAATAATTGTTGCTGAGGACAATTCCTGTTGAAATCCTCTGAATAAATAAATAAATGAATACCTTGTATTTCTTTATAAGATTGGTTACTTTATGGTACACCCTGGTATTCCTGGCAGTCATTATATTCATATTACGAGAGAGCCGGACAATGAAACCGCGATAGACCTCGCAGAACGATGTTCGATTCGTTACAGGGCTGAATTAATGGCGAGACGAAAAGGTGCGGTTTCATGGTCGCGACGTTACGGGGGGAGAAAAGCCACGTTTCACCGTGTCTTAATATATTTTTCTTCCGATAGGAGGGAACGGAAAGATCGTTCTTTCGTAATTTTCCTCGCGAATTAAGATTGATCGATTCGCTGGGGAAGGAAGCATTAGTGCAAATGACGAGGCAACGTAGGGATCGAATGGAAAAAAGCTATCTTGGATTAAAGCTTATGGGGAATTGTGGGAGGATTTAGAATTTCATATAGTTCCCATTGGAAAATTCTAAATAATTTGAGGAAATATAAGAAGAAGAAATTAAAGCTGATTTTTTCTTAGAATAAAAATATTAATCAACCATGACTAATTTTATTAATTAATAACAGTAATATTTATCTTCTCCATACGTGTAAAAATTATAGAATATACTATAATTACAAACATCTGTAATTTCTAAACGACAGAACTCAAAAGAATATAGTTTAAAACAAAAATACTACTATGTCTGACCAATGCTCGACACTACTACTTGCCGAGCACCACACACATCAAATCCAATTATCTCAAAAACGGGAGCTCCTATCAAAAAACTTTATTCCACACTTTCGATTCACATTTCCATACAGAATCAACCCCCTTTGGATTTCATCCCCTAACTACATCACATTCCACAAAATAGTTCATCAAATTCAAATGTGACACTTCTTAAAATCTCTATCTTCCAAGACGAATACTTTCAAACAAAATTATCCATCCACTCAACGAATTTTTCTAATCTAATACCCACTTAACGTATTCGTTAACACGTTCGCGGACGTGAATGTTAAGCATTCATTTTCATTGTGATGCAAAATGACATGAATGCTATAACATTGAAACTTATAAGCCTCGTCATGAATTTTACTCTACATGGCCTTAATCTTTTGAAACAATTATGCACTTTAAACCTCGGAGTACGGCATTTGCATTTTTTCTACTCCTGCGGCTCATTAACACTAAAACTACCGACCAGTCAAATTGACTTTTTGAAATTCCTCTATAGAAACTCAAGAGCGCGTCTATCGAGACTTCAATTGATTTACAATTCAGCTTTCGTAATTCATAAATCGATGTCTTTAATAATTTCTCAGAGAAGCGTTTGTTATCTTTTTAACCCTTTACACTCCGTAGGCGCCTCTCAGTCGCCAGTTGATTTGACACAGCAAAATTACAGAGTTTGACACTTAATATTAAACTTTGTGCGATTTCTCGTTAAGTCAGTTTGAAAGAATGTCGTTGGTATTTCATTAAAAAATGTTGCGTATTTCTAATGAAAAACTTCTGGAGTGCAAAGGGTTAATAATTGCAAACAGAAGAAATCAAGAATGGGTAATTTTGAGCCGTCTGGTTTAGTGTTAAAGTTTCTTCTGTCCGCGAAC